CCTTAAACTCCAACTGAATAGGGTAGGATTCTTCATATCAAAGATCAAACATGTTTCCTCAGTACACTGGGTTGATAGGCATGGGCAACTTAGACTTCGGCTATCAAAACTGAGAGGCTATAAAAGCACAAATAAGCTGGCTTACAAGCTTTCATGAGGGTGTTTAGTGTCAGAATGAGGGGAATAAAATAGAAACCCTACTGAATAGTTTTCTTCTTTCCAGATGGGTCTGCTAATTTTATGATTCAATTGTGAGTAAATGTTATCAGGTCTAATGGTGACTGCCACAACTGCAAATGTAGAAGTGTAACTGAAATGATGGAGCAGTTAGTCGGTCATATCAGTAAAAGGGCCCAAGGACCATATAGAGGAAATTAACATAAGAGGAATGAGGGATCCTAACCAGAAAAGCAGTGACAACAGAGATTGTTGCAGAAGCAATAGCATAGAGCAGAAAAGCAGAGACAATAGAGATGGTTGCAGAAGCAACAGCAAAGAGAGACAGAGCAGCAGAAGTCTATAGGCCCATGGACTGAGAAAGGCAATGTGCCTGCGGGCAGGAAGCTGGCTAGCAAAATGTGCCCTTTGGACATTTAAATGATAAATATTTTCAATGTGGTATGTGTACATCAAAAAAAAAAAAAAATTAACAGATAAATACTGTTGGCTGAAGGTACTGAAGGTACATGCAATCATTGCCATGATTTGCTGAATGTAAAACTGATGTAAAGCTTAAAAAAATAAAATACCACAGCTTGAGTCAGGCACACCTTAGCCCTCAAACTGAATATCTTTGCTCTTTAACACTTTAAAGAGCTCTTGTACAGCAAATGTATCTAATGTAATGTGGTATTGATATCTTGGTTGCTGCTTCCATGAGAGTTGATTATGCATCCAAGCAAAATGAAGTCACTGACAACATCAATCTGATCTCCATTTATAATGAGTATATTTATTGGTCCACTTGTGAGGATTTCTGTTTTCTTTACATTGAGATGCAATCCATACCAAAGGCTGTGATTTTGATCTTCTATCAGTAAGTATTGTAACTCTTCTTCACTTCGAGCAAGCAAGATTGTATCATCTGCATATCTAAGGTCTTTTATGAGTCTTCTTCCAATCCTGATGCCATGTTCCACCTCATATAAACCAGATTCTAGAATCATTTGCTCAGCATACAGACTGAATAAGTATGGTTAAAGAATACAACCCTGACTGCACACACCTTTCCTGATTTTAAACCATTCAGTTCTATTCTACTGATTGCTTCTTAGTCTGTGTATAGTTTCTTCATAAGCACTATTAATTGTTCTGGAATACAGATTTTTCACAATGCCATCCATATCTTGGCATAACACACACAGCCAAAAGTCTTTGCACAATCAATAAGGGACCAAGTAAACATCTTTCTGATATCATCTGCTTTCAGCCAGGATCCATCTGACATCAGCAATGATATCATTCATTCCACATCCTCTTCTATATGCGGCTTGAAGATCTGGCAGTTCCGACTTGATGTGCTTTTGTAGCCGCTTTTAATTATCTTTAGCAAAGTGTTATTTACATGTGATATTAATGACATTGTCTTATGTTTTCCACATTCCGTTGGGTCACCTCTCTTCTTAATCTACACAATCAGTTGACCAAGTAGCTGTCTTCCCAAGTTTTGGCATAGATGAGTAAGCAACTCCAGTGTTTCATAAGTTTGCTGAAAGATTTCAATATGCATTCCGTCAATTCCTTGAGCCTTGTTTTTTGTTACCACTTTAAGTGCATCTAGGACTCCTTCAGTACCATCGGTTCTTGATCATATGATACCTGTTGAAATGGTTGAACACCATCTATTTATTTATAGTACAGTGACTCTGGCTACACTTTTCTGCTTCCCTTACTGCTTTCTGCATCATCCAATAATTTGCCCACAGAATATTTCAATATTTCAAGTCAAAGTTTGAATTTTGTTTCTACAGTTCTTTCAGCTTGAGAAACGCTGAGCGTGTTCTTCCCTCTTGGTTTTCTAACTCCAGGTATTTGTGTATTTCATTTCAACACTAGACTTTGCTTTCTTGAGGTACCCTTTGAAATTTTCTATTTAGTTATTTTACTTGCTCATTTCCTCCATTCACTTTAGCATCTCTATGCTGGAAAGCCTGCTTCAGAATCTCTTCTAACACCCATTATGGTCTTTTCTTTCTTTCCTTCTTACTTAAAAGACCTTTCATTTTCTTCCTGTATGGTGTTCTTACTTTTTAGCTTACCCTTATGTGCTGTAAAGATACATGAAATTACGATGTATGTTACAACATGGATGGACCTTGAAAACTATGGTGAGATAAACTAGTTGCAAAAGGATGAATATTTTATGGTCTCGCTAATATGACATAAGCAAATATATAGAAACCAATGATTATTATTTGTTGCCAGGGTAGGGAAGGACAGGGAAAGGAGGGGTTTTTATTTGGAGGGCACTCAGTTTATATGAATAGTGGTGAAATATTTTGGAAAACGATAGTAATAATGATGACAAAACATGAAAAATATAATTCATGCCACTGAAATTAAATGTGGAAGTTAGTGATGCTTGTAAATATTTTGGTGTGTATATTTTCAGCACACTATAAATAAAAAGATCTTGCAAAGTGAGAGGCAAGTATATAACAAGCCTTTAAAAAATGGCCTACTAGCTAAGTAGTCTTTAGAAAGAACATAGAAACTTCTGAAATAATTTAACTGTGATCATTTCTGAAAGCATGGGAATTGGTTTTAAATTAGTTCGGTTATCTTGTAGCTAAATATTTTCAAAGAAAATCATCCATGAAGTTGGAGGCATATGCTAGTTTAATTCAGAGGATTCTGTAATCCAAATTATAACTGACAAGCAAAAATTTCACTCATTAGACATAAAATGTATAAACTGTATATTGCCAAAATTATATTTCCATAGAGTTAATCATTTCAGATTGGAAAGTACATACTATTTTCTGAACAGTAGTTGGTTTATTAGTAATTAAAATTGCTTAGTGTCAACTTTCTTCCAAAACAGATTTAGATGGCCAAACTTCATCTCTCATACTTTGGATATATTGTCAGGAGGAACCAGTCGCTGGAGAAGGATATCATGTTTGGTAAGGTGGAGGGTCAGAGAAAAAGAGGACAATGGATTGGCCAAGGGGCAGCATCGATGGACTCAAGCGTGGCAACAGTACTGAGGCTGGCCCAGGATTGGGCTTTCCTTCTGCTGTGCATAAGGTCACTATGGGTTGGTACCGACTCGATGGCACCTAACAACAACAACAGTTTCAACTTATTTCAATAATATCCTTTGAGCTTTTCCCATTTCCCATTATTTTGTTGTTATGCTAATACATAACATAAAATAGAATGCAATGGAATACTAGTCAGTCAGTAGGAGAAATGAGTACTGATATATGCTGCAATATGGATGGAACTTGAAGACATTGTTCTGAATGAAGTAGATCAGTCACAAAAGGACAAGCATGGTATGATCTCACTTACATAAAAAAAACAAGAACAGGAAAATGTATAGAGACCAAATTTTATTAGCAGTTACCAGGGTGAGGTAATGAGAGATTAATTTCTTATGGATTACTGAGTTTCACTGTACAATGATGGGGAAAAAATTGTATTTATTAAGGGCAGAGTTGTACAGTTGATTTATCTCATTGCATTCATAAGTTATACACTTGTAAAAAGTTGAATTTGCATAGTTTATGATAGATATATTTACAATAATGCCAAAAAGAAAGAGAGATTAGCTGCTGATGCTGTTTATGTACAAACATAAGGGTTAGGGTCATGGTTTCATGGTGCTTTGTTCTATCTCCTAGTTCCTTGCATAGTGCCTAGGATCTTAAAAGCTTTCAAGGTGCCTTCCAAGACACAAAAATTTGTCTCTATTCATCTGGAGCAGCAGAGGAAGTCGGAAAGTAAGGAAATGTTGGTGTCAGGTGCCATCACATCAGTTCCGACTCATACAATGGAACGAAACTGACAATGTACCATCTTCACAACTGCTGTTATGTTTGCTACTGGAACTGTGTCAATCCATCCCATTTAGGGCCTTTCTCTTTTTTCCCTTGACCTTCCATTTTGCACAAGAGGCAAATTAAAATACCATGGATTAGATCAGGTGCACCTTAGTACTCAAAGTGCCATCATTATTCTTAACACTTTAAAGAGATCTTTTGCAGCATATTTGCCTAACACAATACATCACTTGATTTCCTGACCACTGCTTACATGAGTGATGATTAAGGTTACAAGTAAAATGAACTATTTGACTTCAATCTTTCTCCATTTACCATGATGTTATTTATCAGTCCATTTGTGAGGATTTTTACTTTACAATCCATACCGAAGGCAACAGTCTTTGATCTTCAGGAGTAAAAGGAGGATATGGAATATATGGTTAATTGCTTCCATGAATAACTGCCTCCACTGCTATGAGACCAAAACTACTGGATAGTTCCCAGCTACTATTACTAAAAAAAATTGATCAAAGATGCCATAGAAAAATCCAGATGAAAATGGAGAAAATGCAGACTATAATTTCAAATTCTTATGGACCCCAGACTTTGTGGAGCTATAGAGGATGAATAAACCCTGAAAGCACTGTCCTGAGAAAATCTTTTAAATTTAAAACCAAAATCCCCCACTAAAGTCTTCCTAAAGCCAAACTACAGTAACTTAACTAGTAAATAATGTTGGCCTTTGTTGTGCTCTTTAAAGATCTATCTGTATGAAACCAAAATAACAACAGCAATGAGAAAAATTAAGTAGGAAACACATGGGCAGTAGTTAGTCTATTTTAAAGGGGGAAAAACAGAAAAAAAGGACAAGAACGGTTTATACAGCTTGAAGAATATGATCAGTGTCACTGAATTATGTACACAGAAATTTGTAAGTGGCCTGTTCTGCTATGAATATTGTTAACAATAACAACAAAAGTAAAGTAAAATATTTAATGAAAGTGTACTTACATGATAAGAATCTGCTTCTTCTTCCATGGGTTCATCAACCATTTTAAGACCATGCACCTGAAAAATATTGTTTAAAAATTGAAGTTTTGCAGTATTAAAACAATACCAATAACTATCAAATACTTACTTAAACACAAAACAACAAAGGATACATAGAAGGTAATTTACAAGAGGAGCATTACTAACATGATTTCTAGTTAGTCTTTGAGAATCCTTAACAAACCTTGTGACATTGCAAACTGTTTACAGCATTGCTATTATGGATGAATTATATTAAATATGTGACTTGTATACTTCCATTAAGACAGTCTCTTGCTGAATATTTGAGACAATATATATAAAAAAAAAAAAAAAAACTGCCAAAGAAGAAAAGTATTGTGGGAATACACCCAAAGAAAATGATGGTAGGAAGACTTGTATATAATTATTACAATGTTGTAAATTGTTTTCCTTTCATTTAGATAGCTTACATTTTATGAGATACTGTATAAAAGAATTGACTCTAGGAAAGAAATAAAAGTGGCAATAAAAATACAATTATTTTGATATATAAAGCACAGTAGAAAAACATTCTTACTCTTTAACCACTACTTTAGGAAATAGTATAGAGGATTTATATAAGAGGTAGGGAAGCTATGTTTATGCAAAGTTAAGTTTTACTGGAACAAAGTCACAAGCTTTAGTTTACATATTATTTATGGCCCAAAATATTCACTATCTGGCTCTTTTCAGGAAAGGTCTGCCAAATCACAATCTATGGTGTCTGAAAATTAAGGAAGAGAAATATGATCTAGTATAAAGACATTTTATCACTGGATAGTCATAAGAGTTCATAGAACATTAAAAAATAAAGGTAATTTAATAGACACCCATTGACCTGGAGATAAGAGAAAGAATAGGAAGTGTTCGTTGGTCCAAAGCATGGTGAGAACTGGAACCCCTGACACCATGGACAAGGGCACCATCACAGAGGGCTAGAGCTGAGAGCAAAGTATATAGCTAATATGAAGTGAGTGGGTACTATCTTCAAGAATTCCCAAAGTTGTAGATACTATAAACTCAACCTAGCTTCAATGGCTTGATGATCAGAACTCAACTGGAGGAAGATTTTAAAAAATTGGTTTCTGTTTTATTTTATAAAGGAGACAAGTTTAAATTCCTAAAATTTGATGAACTTGACCTATATTTATGGATGTTGTTGTTGTTAGGTTCAATCGAGTTGGTACTGACTCATAGCGACCCTATGCACAACAGAATGAAACACTGCCCAGTTCTAGGCCAACATCACAATTGTTGCCAAGCTTGAGCCCATTGATGCTGCCATTTTGCAATTCCATCTCGTTAGGGGTCTTACACTTTTTCTCTGACCCTCTACCATACCAAACAGGATATCCTTCTCCAGCAATCAATCCCTTGTGACAATATGTCCAAAATATGAGAGACGAAGTTTGGTGATCCTGGCATCCAAGGAGCACGTGGACTGCACTTTTACAACACAGACACATAGGCTCTTTTGGCAGCCCAAAGCACTTTCAATATTCTCCTCCAACACCATAACTCAAAAGCATCAATTATTCTACAGATTTCCCTATTCACCGTGCAACTTTCGCATACATATGAGGTTGCTGAAAATGCCATGGCTTGAGTCAGGAACACCTTAGTCCTCAAGCTGACATCTTTGCTCTTCAACACTTTAAAAATGTCTTGTGCAGCAGATTTGCATAATGAAATATGTTGTTTGATTTCTTGACTGCTGCTTCCATGAGTGTTGATAGTTGATCCAAGAAGAATGAAGTCAGTGACAATTTTAATCTTTTCTCCATGGATATAAATGTTGTTTATTGGTCCAGTAAGGAGGATTTTTTTTGCTTTACATTGAGATGCAATCCATACCAAAGTCTGTGCACTTGGATCTTCATCAGTAAATATTTTAAGTCCTCTTAACTTTCAGCAAGCAAAGTTGTATCATCTGCATATCACAGGTGTTAATAAGCCTTCTACCAAACACGTTTTTCTTCATAGAACCCAGCTTCTCGAATTATTTGCTCGGCTTACAGGTTGAATAAGTATGGTGAAAGAATACAACCCTGTCACACACCTTTCTTAACTTTAAACCATTCAGTGTTCTCATGTTCTGTTCGAACAACTGTCTCTTGGGTCAGGTACAGATTCCTCATGAGCACAATTAAGCGCTCTGGAATATTCTTACTTCAAAATGTTTTCCATAACTTGTCATGATCCACACAATCAAAGCCTTTGCATAGTCAAAGAGCACAGGTAAACATCTTTCTGGTATTCTCTGCTGTCAGTCATGATCCATCGGACAACAGCAATGATATTCCTCATTCCACGGCCTCTTCTGAATGCAGCTTGAACCTCTGGAAGTTCTCTGGCAATGTATGCTTGCAGCCGTTTCTGTATTACCTGTAGTAAAACTTTACTCACATGGGATATCAAAAATAGTGTCTGATAATTTCCGCATTCTGTTGGGTCACCTCTCTTTCAAAACAGCACAAATATGGAGCTCTTCCAATCAGTCAGCCAGATAGTTGTCTTCCAAATTGCCTCTAGTGCTGCCTCACTTTCTTGAAAGATTTCAATTTTTATTTCATCAATGCCTGATGCCTTGTTCTTTGCCAATTCCTTCAATGCAGCTTGGACTCCTTTTTTCTGTACCACTGGCTTTTGATCATATGCTACCTCCTGAAACGGCTGAAAAGCAAGTTTCCTTTCGGTACAGTGACTCTGTGTATTCCTTCTATCTTCTTTTGATGTTTTGTACATCATTCTAAAATTTGCCCAGAGAATCCTTCAATAACAAAAGTCAAGGATTGAATTTTTTTCTTTACTTGCCCCAGCTTGAGAAATTCTGAGTGTATTCTTCCTTTTTGGTTTTCTGATTCCAGATCCTTGCACATTTTGTGGTAATATTTGACTTTGTCTTCTCGAACTGACCTTTGAAATTTTCTGTTCGGCTCTTGTACTTCTTCATTTCTTCCACTTTCTGTAAAACCTCTATGCTGGAGAATAAATTTCAAGTTCTCTTCTGACATCCATTTTGATTTTTTCCTTCTTTCTAGTCTTCTTAATGACATATTGGTTTCTTCACGTAAGATGTTCTTGATGTCGTCCCACAACTGTTCTGGTCCAGTATTTAGTGTTTAATGTATCAAATTTGTTCTTCAGATGAACTCTATAGTCAGGTGGGATATACTCAAGATCGTAGTTTGACTCTCGTGGGCTTGTTTTCATTTTCTATAGCTTCAGTTTGAATTTGCAATTGAGCAATACATGGTGGCTCAAAAAACCAACTGATAGGGAAGGAATCTTCACATCAAATATCAACCCAATAACCTCTGTATATAGGGTTGAAAGGGAGGGGCAGCTTAGACAATGCATACGTAAAATGGGGGTTGTTGTTGCTGTTATTGTTGTTAGGTGCCATCGATTCAGTACCAACTCATAGTGACCTTATGCACAGGAGAACGAAACAATGTCCAATCCTGGGCCAAACTAACTATCGCCACCACACTTCAGTCCATCGATGCGGCCATTTGGCCAATCCATCTCATTGGGGGTCTTCCTCTTTTTCTCTGACCTTCCATCTTACCAAACATGATATCCTTCTCCAGCGACTGTTCCCTCCTGATTTTTGTTTGTTTTTTAAGTGCCGTCGAGTCGGTTCCGACCCATAGCGACCCTGTACAGGGTTTCCGAGGGTGTAAATCCTTACGGGAGTAGAAAGCCTCATCTT